GTGTTTGAAAAATTCCTAATTCCTCCCTCAAGAATAATAATAAAACATTTTAATTTCTTAAAACTCAACCATTCTAGAAAACTGACCTAAACCTCTTGCAGTTAGAATCACTGGATGCTTCATGCTATGTTCCAGTGCCTTTAACTACACCTCACACCTCTGACCTCTGATTATTTACCTTGCAAATGCATCACTCTGGCTAAAATGTGTTCAGAGAGCGGCACAGAACTCTAATCATTTCTGGAAAAAGAGCTCAGAGAACATATTCCTATATATGTAAATGTATACACACATACATTATACACATGTGTGTATACATATGAATGTGTGTATCTGTCTATTTATCTGTCTATAATTTATCAACCATGCAATTATACCTCTTTTGTTGTTCAGTCATTTTTTCAGTTGTATCCAATTCTTTGTGACCCAATTTGGATTTTTCTTAGCAAAGATACTGTAGTTTGCCATTTCCTTTTCCAACTCATTTTACAGATGAAGAACTGAAGCAAACAGGGTTAAGTGACTTGCCCAGGGTCACACAGCTAGTAAGTGTCTGAGACTGGATTTGAATTCAGGAAGATGACTTGTCCTGACTCCAGGCCAAGTACTCTGTGCACTGTGGAGCCACCTAGCTGCCCCAATTATACCTATGTATTGTCCTAAAAATAGGTTGTAGAAGCCTGGCATGATGGATAAAGAGCTGGCCATGGAGCCAGAAGACCCGAGTTCCTGCCCTTTCTCTGAAAGCTGTAGGATGTGGAATAGGTCACTTAGCCTCTTGAGGCCCAAGGCAGCTCTCTGAGACTTTAAAACTATAGAGAAGGTATTGACATTCCTTCCTGGGAGCTCTGCACCACAGAGACCACAATCGCAGTCCCTATCCCTATTCTTCTCTCTCCCACTCCAAGCTGTCTCAGCTATTTCATTGCATGTTGAGTATTGTTTTGTTAATAGGGATATTTGTGTAAAACATAACATTCTGGGTATACTAATGAGTGAAGGATTTTTTTTTTCTGTCAGAGGAATAATACTATTTCCAATCTTGTAGTGTTTCATGTTTCTAAAATCAAAACAAGAACTTCTACAAAAAGCCATAACATAACACACTAGAATAATGTCACTGATCAAATACCGAAAAGTTGGCAGCCCTAACCATATTACATTCATAAGACTGTGTAGTCTGAGTTCCTTAGCATGAGTTCTGATTCAGCAGAGAAGGGTCATTGATATAGCAAAAAACGTAAATGTTGGCAAAAAATCTCTCACAGAGAGGGGGAATAAGAAAAAAAAAGTATACAATTAATGACAGTTTTATGATTAAGCTCTTCCTGGAAAAATTTTCAGGTCCAATGACCATTTAAAATGCACAAAACTTTCCTACTTTACTAAATTTTGATCAATTGTAATATTAGAATTTGTGTTCTCTATGTATTTTTCTCTGTGCCATTTATGTTTATTTGAAAAGCATATAATTCACAGATGAAAAATTAAGTGGATGAGGAATATAGATTGTGATATCATTAGATGAGTAGCCCATCGAGTTAGCTCATTAGTACCTAAATCTTGTTCAGGATAATGCAGACAGACAATGAGCTAGTCTCAGAAGGGGATAAGAGCAGAATGGGCTGGAATAGATGTGGGAAACTGCACAGTGCTTGCAATGGTATCAAGCTCCTTCTTGACATAAAAGTCCATCTCTCTCTCTCTCTCTCTCTTTTTTTTTTTTTACTATAATATTCTTTCAGTGATGCTAGATGGCAATAAATCACTGGACACACAGGCTGAGAAGAACACAAATTTCAGGAGACCTAATGGGCAATGGAGAGATGTATGATGGGCATAAAGAGATTGCAGCATATTTCCAGCAATGACAGGCCCACAGTAAGAGATATGAAAGATGTAGCAAAACTGAGTTAAAGCTGCAAAGGAAGAATTAATCCTCAGATAACTTAAGTGACTTACTCAAAGTCAGACAAAATAAGTAGCTGAGATAGGATATGAACCCATGTCCTCTGATTCCAAATCCAGCATTCTTTCTACTATACCAATATGACCTGCATCACTATGGACACACAAGTAAGAGGATGTAGGCCATTCATATATGGTGAGAAGGCGTGATAGAGTAGATAGACAGATGGATAGTCAGTGCTATAATGGTATCCATTAAATATTTAAAGGTCACTTTACCTCAGTAGGCCTCAGTTTCCTCATCTGGATGAGATGGTCTCTTACGTCCACTATGGTTCTAAATTTATCATCTTGGGGAAGAGAGGAATAAAGGAAGCATGTAGGGTAGAACCTCCATGGAGAATTTATGGAAGGGTATGGATAAGAATTCTACAGAATGAGAATGTTGGGATGGGCTGTTGAAAGCACTGTCCACATTGATGAGTTTATGGATCCATTAAGGTATGTTGAAACAGTTGAATTTCTTACCGTTTTATGAAAAATAATTGAAAAATTAAATATTACAATTTAACTATTGAATTATGAAATCTTCACATACAAGAGAAATTTTAGATCATCTGATCTAAATTTGTAAAATTATTTAGATCATCTGATCTAAATCTGTAAAATGATCTCATTTTACAGATGAGAGGGCAGAAGCCTAGGGAGATAAAGTTTTAATGTTTTTAATGGATATCAGAATAGCACTAAAATCGTCTGCCTGTAATCCCTCACTCCCAGGGGGAATACATGACTTGTTGAAGGTCAGGCAGTGAATCTATGAGAAAGCTCGGACAAGAACCCAGTTCTAACTCCCAATCCAATGCTCTTTCCATTGTACAATGCTGGTTCCTTCAGATCTAGAGTCAGCTTCTACACAAACATAAATGACTCTCAATTGGATTCCTGATAAAGATCATGATTTAGAACTGGAAGGAATCTTAGAAGTTTACCTAGAACAATCACCTCATTTTACTACTACTACTACTACTACTACTACTACTACTACTACTCCTACTCCTACTACTACTACTCCTCCTCCTACTACTACTATTACTACTACTAGCTAGCATTAGTATAGCACTTACCTAGGCATTGTGCTAAATGTTTTACAAATATTACCTTATTTGATCTTCACAACAGCCCTGGGAAATAGGTACAATTATGATTTCCCATTTCACAATTGAGAAAACTGAGGCAAATAAAGGTTAAGTGACTTGCCCAAGGCCACAAAACTATTAAGTGTCTGAGGTCAGATTTGAACTCAGGTGTCCCTTATACCAGTTTCACACTCTATCTATTGCATCACTTATTCAGTTGTTTTTTTGTGACCCCCATTAGGGGTTTTCTTGGCAAAGATACTGGAGTAGTTTGCCATTTCCTTCTCCAGCTCATTTTACAGACAAAGAACTGAGGCACACAAGGTTAAGTGACTTGCCCGGGGTCACAGTTAGTAAGTGTCTGAGGCTAGATTTGAACTCAGGACCTCCTGACTTCAGGGTGGGCAATCTATCCACTGCACCACCTACCTGCCCTATGAATGAGAAAGCAACGAGTTCAAGATTACATAACTAATAAGTGGCAGATTTAGGATTTAAAACCAGGATCTCTGATTAGAAATCCAGTATACTTTGTAGGGCAAGTGAGAGGCTCTTCTAACTACCTGAACTAGACTTTTCATTGAAGCCATTAGACTAAGAGTCAGTGAAGATGTTACCCTATGGTCCTGTCTGGCAGTTGGGACTTCAAGAGAGGCTATCTCATCAACTCAACCGTATCAAAGCTGTATTGTTGGGGCAGTGGATAGAGCACCAGCCCTGGAATCAGAAGGACCTGGCCTCAGACACTTAACACTTAGTAGCTGTGTGACCCTGGGCAAGTCAGTTAACCCCAAATGCCTCACCAAAAAAAAAAAAAAAGGAAAAAAATTAAAAACAAAACTGTATCGTCCTAGGTGGCTCCTTTGTGTAGTAGAGAAAGGGGCAGGAGCCTAGGGTGGCTGGCGTCTGTGATGCCAGAATGGAATACCTCCAGTAGCTATAGAAAGATCCTCTTATGAAGTCATAATTGTCTTCATTATGCCTGAAAGCAGCCTTTGGTAAGACAAGAAATATCTCAGGGTTCCAGGAGAGATCTATGGAGTGAACTTGTGAACCTGGGTCTGGATTCAGAGCAGAAGCCAATAAATGGCAATCTCAGCATCAGACCATGATTTCATCCCTCCCTCCTTGGTTTGAATGATACAAGTTTTCAATCATTGTTTTTCTTCAAGAGGAAACCAAATGAATGGGTTTCCTGATATTATCACATCTGAACAGTAGCAAGAATATTTTACTCAAGAATGAAACAGGGCACAATCAAGTAGAAGGGCATATGGAAGGCATTTGAGGGAAAATTGAAAGAATGAGAAAGCCTTAGGGTGGGGGATGGTCACAATTATTGTGATCCCAGCTTTGACACTTAAAATACTTTGACACCTAAAGTGCTTTCACTATTTGCACGCCATTCCTGGACCAAAAAAGTCAAGAGCATATGCCTCCAAGGTGAGAAAAATAGCTCATTAAAGGCAGCATCTTTTAAAAACAGAGACTTAGTATTTAGCCCCTTAGAAAAAGAGGGCAACCTGACTGAGAACTATGACACTAAAGAAAAGATTTCAATCAGGGCCAGCTCCAAGGACATGCTGTGCAAGAAGATAAAGTTTGTTTTTGGTATCCTGCAGTCTTTCTGAAGAAGGCCCTTTTCTGTCTCCCAGACTCAACTTTCTGTCTCTCCTGTTTATTATTCTGTAAGGTTTAGTTACCAGTTTACTGAAGTGCTATTTGATAATTAGGGTATCATCTGATCAAGCTGCCAATGGTTAGAGGGGATTCCTAAATCCTAAAAAGCCTTAATAGTCAGAGGAATAATGGAATGACAGATTAAAGGGTTGACATTTTTAGTGGGGGGAAGGACTGCTACATTTCTACTCATATTACACAGGTAGATGACTGCCTGCTTTCAAGGACAGCCCTAATTTCAATCCAAAACTGTTCTGGAACCCAGTTACTCACTCTTGCCAAGCTGGTCCCAGATGGAACTTTATAAGGGACGTACTTCCTGTAGATATGACCAACTCTAGAACATGGAACGTCAAACATTCCTCCTCCACACATCCATACCTAGGGTGGGGAAAAGAAAAACACCCAAAGATAATGAATTTCAGAAGGGAAGATCTTGGCCAATAAGAAATAGGATTTATGAAAAATCCAAAAGCATTCTGTGTCTACAACTACAAGCCCTTTGGTAATATGTGATTACTTGGAAGAAGGAAACAAGGTTTTTCTACTAGATCCTGCAAGTACTGAAAAAGAAATATCAGTACAGTGTTAAAAGTCCTAATACAATAGATTATAAGACACTATCTATATTTTTTCCCATCATATATTTGTTTTGATGAAAAGCATTTAAAATAATAATAATCATAATCATAGTAATAGTGACTGTTTACTTTGTTCTTGCACATTCATAATATATAATCATCACCTCAAACTATGAGATTATCTAAATTCTTTTGTCATGCTGGAATCTATTATAATGAATACTCTGTAAAGTCATAAGTTATGTTTCTATTATATTTTATGGTCGGAAAGAATTTTTATGTTTATGTTTTCATTGCCTTATCATGACAACACTGTGAGGTGGGAAATGCAAATATTACTATTTCATTAACTGAGGCTCAGAGACTTGCCCAAGGTAACACAGCCAGGATGGATCAGAGACAAGACTTGAATCCAGGTCTTTTAACTTCCAATGCAATGCTCTTTGCACTAAACTTTGCTACCAAACAATTTGCTGGGACTTATCAGTTTTTTGTTTATGCAAAGATTTTTGTTGTAATGGTATTTATCATAACAGAATTCAAAGTAATAGCATCAGAATTATAATTGCCCATTTGAATTATAATTATATGTGAAACTAGAGAAGTTCTAGAATAGATAGCTGAAAAAATAGTACAAATGAGCACCTTAATACATAACACAGTATGTTCACAAGCATTCCATTTCACAGTAAATAAACCGCTTTGTGGGGTTAAAATGTATCTTCCCTCAACTTGACCTCAATTTACTTGTTTCTATGGCTCTGCTACCTTCTCATCCTGTAACTTCTTTAAGCTTCCCAGGCTTCCTTGTCTTGGATACTCTAAGAAGACCCTCCCCAAGCCCCTCACCCCCTTCTCCCATTGGCAAGTTCCTCTTTGAGCCTCCATTTTGTGAAAGGGCCGAGACTGCTCTCCTGGCTCTGTTCCTGACATTCCAGGCTTCTCCCTCCCTTTTCAACTCCCTTTTACGTGTTACCTTTAGCCATTAGGAATTAAGCTCCTTGAGGGCAGAGACTGCCTTGCATTTTGCTTATATTTGCACTTCCTTCCTTTTTCCTTCCCTTCCTCCCTTCATGAATGGCAAGGTAGAACTGCTGCTGAACATCCCTCTCCTCTTCAACTCTTCCTCCAGGTGCTGCTACAATTGAGATATGGGGCCGAGGTGACAGAAACATTCTAGTGTTGAATCACTGACCTAGTATCTCTGCAGCATTTTGAAGGCCTAGGACAATGATTACAGTCTTCACCCTTTCCCCAGTACATAATGAACTCCACTGAATCTAGTATGAGTCTATCTGACCCAAAACCGATCATGTCACTCCCTTACTCAAAAATCCATTGCTTCTTGAATTAAATTTAAATTCCTCAGTCTGACATGTAAGGTTCTTTAGTTTCTGATCTTAATCTACCTTTGACGTCTCATCTCTGACTATTGCACTACACTGACTAAACATTCCAGCCAAACCCACTAATTCCCAGATGCCCTCATGCTTTGCTGACTCCTCTCTTTCGCTTTTGCTGTTCCTTCAGTTTAGATCACTCTCCCTGTGGCATCACCATCTTTCTAGTCCCCCAGGTTTACAACCTCAAAGGTATAGTCAACTCACCACTCTCAAACACCATATATAAATTACTTGCCAAAGCCTGTCATTTCTACCTTCACAATAGCTATCATGTTTGTCCCCTTTTTTCCACCTACACAGCCACCACCTCAGTTGGCGCTCTCATCACTATTGCAATCATCTTTTTATTGATTTCCCTGCCTCAAATCTCACCCTACTCCTACCCATCTTCCACACAGCTGCCAAATATTATTTTTAAGTGTAGATCTGAACATGTCATTCTCTTACTCAATTGGCTCCAAGCGGCTCCATGTTACCTCTAAGAGTATTTAAGGTCTGTCATTTAAAGTCTACCTTCCCAATCTTATTATAAACGATTCCTCTTCACGTATTATATAGTCTAGTCATGGTATTCTTCCTATTCTTATAAATATAAATTTCCCCTCACTGTGCCTGATCTATTGGTCTATGCCTGGAATGTAATTACCCTTTGCTACCACTTCTTGGAATTTCTAGCTTCTTTCAGTCCTCACCTCAAGTGCCATTTTCTTCATGAAGCTTACCCCGATCCTTCCAGGTGCTAGTACTCATCCACTACTCACCAACTTGTTTCTATTTTGCCTATACTTTAATATGATCATTGTATTCCTAGCATCTAGCACAGGGGTGGGGAACCTGTGGCCCTGATGTGGCCTTCTAGGTTCTTGGGTGAGGCCTTTTGACTGAGTCCAAATTTTGCAGAACAAGTTCTTTCATTAAGGGGATTTGTTTCGTGAAGTTTGAATTCAGTCAAAGGGCTGCACTTGAGGACCTAGAGGGCTACATGTGGCCTTGAGGCTGCAGGTTCCCCATCCCTGATTAGCATATAAGAGGCATTAAAGGCTTACTCATTGAATGACTGAAATTCCATCCATTCTTTAAAAGCTAGCTTGAATACCATTTCTTTCATGAAGTTGTCCCTGATTCTCCTAGACAGATAATAGCACTTCATATTTCTATGAAGTAATTTAAGATTTACAAATTTATTTCTTCACAATAATCAATGTCCTAGATGGTGTCAACATTATGGCCCCTCAATTTGTAGGTTAGTAAACTGAGGCTCAGAGGTTGAATGATTTGCCCAAGTAACATAACTCGGGTGTATTGTAGTTGGATTAAAATCCTGATTCTTTACTCTTTGCAGTGTACCATACTTTCTCTCATACCTTTTCAAATGTGATTTCTCCTTCCTCCAAATCCCTGTAGCAGTTTTTTTTTTTTGGATGATGATTTATTATCTTAATATTAAATATTATTTAAATTTAATCTTAAACATCAATGTAGCCATTAATCTGGCTTTGCAACTACTCACAGATAAATGAATTTTAATGCATAAAATGTAATCAGTCATTTCTTCTAAATCTCTATCTCTGCTTGTCCATTTATTTCCATCACTTTTCTTTTTATATGGGCTTAATTATCATGTACTTTTTTTCTTTTTTAACTTTTCATTATTTTACAATGGTCTTGCTGACATTAATTGCATCATAGTATTCTAGTACAGTAATACATCATAATTTAGATAAGCAATTCCCCATTGCTGTATATTTAGGTGTCTTTGAGGATTTATTTTTTTGCAATTAGAAATAATGCTGGGTTTTTTTTTTTTTGTGTGTGGAAGGTCAGCTCTTTTTTTTTCTCTTTGAGAATAGTTTTAGGATAGATTTTTAATAATGAAATTATTGGAATAATATTTTACTTATACTTACCTTTATGGCATCTATCATATTCTAAATTGGATTATAGTTAAATAATCTCACTTCTGCTAGATTGTAAACTCCTTGAAGGTAAAGACTGCATGACATTCAACTCTAGGGACCCTCTAGAATGCCTAGCACAGGGGCTTTCACAGTCTTACATTTATTCTCCCCCATGCACTCCAGTAACAGTGACTTGTTATTCTTCTTACACTCACTCCATCTCTAGCATCTTTGCCTTTCCACTTGCTGTTACCAATGCCTGGTGACATTCCCTATATCTCCATCTCTTAGCTTCCTTGACTTTTTTAAGACTCAGATCAAATCCGTCCTTCTGCAGAAGGCCTAGAAAGGTAATCATAGTTGCTAGTGTTTTTCCCACTGAGATTATCTTCCATATAGTATCCATACCTATATCTTTTCCTAATTATTTACATGATGTCTTCCTCATTAGAATGTGAATATGTGAACTTTCTTTATATCTGCACCTCTGAGCATAAGGCCTACCACAAAGTAAAGGCTTAATAAATGCCTGTTGACTTGACTTTAATAGGTAGGTGCTCAATAACTGTTCATTGGGTTGGATCCAGTTGTTAAATAGAATAGTCCCTGAGAAGTCTGAACTTGTCATAATCTTTCAAGATGATTGCCACAAATCATCAGTGATCAAGTTCTGTGGGCAGGCTACTTGAAGGCTTCCACAGAATCCATGTTCCATAGTTAGTTCTATGAATGTGTATAGGCATTTCCAGATAAGTATATAAAACACACAGGTGATAGATAAATTAAAAAATTAAATTGAAACAGGTTATTAAAGATGATTTTGAAAAATTGTAAATCTACCCTATAATTCAAACAGACATGGTTTGAATGCCATTTGCATAACAAATAGAATTGGACATCCATGATTCAACCAAATGTATCTGGGGAGATAATTTATGGGTTTGGCAAAATTGCTTATAACTCTAGTGCTTTATCTGGCTAAGACCATTAATTATTAAGTGTATCATTTCCTTCATAAGGAGTTGTTTTTGAAAATATCTGGGCCAACAACAAAAAGGGTGGAGAGCTTGTTTGAATCAATTCCAATGTCATCAGTTTGCAATTCACTGAAAGCATCCAGTATGCTAAATATAACAAAAAAGTGACACCCATTTCTGAATTAATCCAGGCTCATAAATGTTTCATTCCCTCATGGTATTAGATTTTCATTATTCAATGTATACACAAGAAGGTTTGAGATCTGACATCCCACATAAAGTACCAGATGCAATTCTTTTGTCAGGGGAATCTCAATGGAGTTCAGTGGAATTGTTTTTGGCACTGCTGGCTGGGCTGTGGGGTGAACCTCTCACCACCACATCCCAGTACCTTAGATTATACCTGGCTATAGATTTGGACAAAGATAATACAAAAGAACCTATAGCCATGTGGCAAACCATAGCTTAGAGGATTTCTAAGGGTGGTGGATGTAGTTGTATTGGTTTTTAAACTTTCCTGGG